ACTTTGTAAAATCTCTTTATGTATGTACCTTTGCCTAAATAAAAATTATTATTATTATTATTATTATATTATTATTATTATCCTTCTCAAGCTCACACCTCGCCACCAGTCCCTGCTACATCGTTTTGTGTGAACTTCTCCTAGAAAATTGTGTTCTCAATATCGTCGTCTCCGAATTTATCTTCGCGCTCCCAAGATCAACAGTGTGGGGTCCCTGAGTCTCGCGCCACCGCCGCCAGGAGCGCTGCCATCGCACCAGTTTGTAAACAAACCTCACATGTGCCCGTTCAGGTCTTCACGACGTTTCTCCTACTTTGGCAACTGGTGATCCTCATAAATTACAACCCTGAGATAAGTAATTGCTAGTTGAGAACAACGTGCCAAGTGCTAAAAAGTGACTTATGTAATAATTCCCATAATATCCTGTGAATTAACCATTCAGTGACTTGTTAAATATTGGAGCTGGTTCAGTACTCCACTCCCCACAGTTTCTTGTGTGATTTCAACATTCCTGCTTCTTACAGTAATTTCATTGAATTTTAATTGTTCTCCTAGAGTGTTATTGGTAAATTTAAATTCCAGTGAAGTAAGAAATCCTTGTTTTAGTAGCAGTTAAGGATTTGTACAATATAATTTTTTTTATTTCCTCCAGGCCTAAAATTTAAATTTATTCTTTCAACATTGCATATTATAATTTTTTTTACCATAGTTATATACATTCCTGTGTCCAGTTTATGTGCTACATACATATTTCTTGCACTGCCACTTGTTGTGTTGAATCTTTTTTAATGAAATTTTGCAATTGCACTTCCAGTTTTTATATTCTCAATTGCTGTGCTTAGTCTGGTTTAATTAATTTACATACATCTAATTCCAGTCATTTTTTTAATGAAAGATTGCTAAATTTAGTTTACAATTGCTTGTTCTTAATTATTTTCTTGCCTAGCCCAATTTAATAATTTTATTTCTGCCATTTTCACTTTAGCCAAGTTGATATTTTTTTGTGTGTTTATTTTTGTGTATACTATTTCTGATGCCAGGTGCACTTAATTATAATCTGCGTTCAAATATTACTTCCACGGCTGTGACAATGCCTACCACTGTTGAAACCCCTTCAGAATCAATGGGTACAGTTGCTCGTCCCGATGGCCAGAGATCAGCTCAGGAAATGGCTATTCCTCTTTTTGCTGGGGAATCCCGCTTATTAGAGTCATGGTTTAGTAAGGTTGAAGCGAAAACAGTTGCACGTTTTTCTAAGCCTACTGATGCCGAATACTTAGCAATTGCACGGTCTGATGATGTGGATGATGGTTCCACACTTCCCTCCACCACCCCACACTTCCCTCCACCATCCCACACAACCCTCCACCATCCCACACTTCCCTCCACCACCCCACACTTCCCTCCACCATCCCACACACCCTCCCACCATCCCACACTTCCCTCCACCATCCCACACTTCCCTCCACCACCCCACACTTCCCTCCACCATCCCACACAACCCTCCACCATCCCACACTTCCCTCTCACCACCCTCCACCACCCACACTTCCCTCCACCATCCCACACTTCCCTCCACCATCCCACACTTCCCTCCACCATCCCACACTTCCCTCCACCATCCCACACTTCCCTCCACCATCCCACACTTCCCTCCACCATCCCACACTTCCCTCCACCACCCCACACTTCCCTCCACCATCCCACACAACCCTCCACCATCCCACACTTCCCTCCACCATCCCACACTTCCCTCCACCATCCCACACTCCACCATCCCACACTTCCACCCCACACTTCCCTCCACCATCCCACACTTCCCTCCACCATCCCACACTTCACTCCCACACAACCCCCACCAACCCTCCACCATCTCACACTTCCCTCCACCATCCCACACTTCCCTCCACCATCCCATACACCCTCCACCATCCCACACTCCACCACTTCCCTCCACCATCCCACACACCACCCTCCACCATCCCACCCACACTTCCCTCCACCATCCCACACTTCCCTCCACCATCCCACACTTCCCTCCACCATCCCACACTTCCCTCCACCATCCCACACTTCCCTCCACCACCCCACACTTCCCTCCACCATCCCACACTTCCCTCCACCATCCCACACTTCCCTCCACCATCCCACACTTCCCTCCACCATCCCACACTTCCCTCCACCATCTCACACTTCCCTCCACCATCCCACACTTCCCTCCACCAGCCCACACTTCCCTCCCTCCACCATCCCCACCATCCCACACTTCCCTCCCTCCACCATCCCACCCACTTCCCTCCACCATCCCACACTTCCCTCCACCATCCCCACACTTCCCACACTCCCTCCACCATCCCACACTTCCCTCCACCATCCCACACTTCCCTCCACCATCCCACACTTCCCTCCACCATCCCACACTTCCCTCCACCACCCCACACTCCACCATCCCTCCACCACCCCACACTTCCCTCCACCATTCCCACACCCACACCCTCCACCACCCCACACTTCCCTCCACCATCCCACACTTCCCTCCACCACCCCACACTTCCCTCCACCATCCCACACTTCCCTCCACCATCCCACACTTCCCTCCACCATCCCACACTTCCCTCCACCACCCCACACTTCCCTCCACAATCCCACACTTCCCTCCACCATCCCACACTTCCCTCCACCCTCCTGCAGAGGGACAGGATGAAGGAGGAGAGAGCCAGGGCAGCAGAGGCCAGAGGCAAGGAGGAAGCGATGGGAGAGAGGAGCAAACCAGGAAATCACAGCCCCCAACACAACAGTCCTAGAGACAAGTGGGGAACCCAAAACCAGCATCCCAGCAACACCAGAAGGGAGGGCAACACCACCACCCCCTCTGCATAGAAACCCTCACTTCCCCTCACCCTACTTTCCCCCACCCAACCCTCCCCCCCTCCACCCCATTCTGACCCTGACACCCCTTCTCCCATTCTCATTATGTCCCCCCTCCCACCTTTCTCCCTCCTGTCCCCCCTCCCCCTTCATCCCATACCCTCCCTATCCCTCCTCCCCCCTCACCCCGTATCCTCCATGTCCCCCCTATCTCCTTAACCCACACCCAACCTGTCTCCCCTTCCCTTAATCCCCCACCCCCCACCCCAAAATCCTCTGAGACCCTGCAAACCACCTCACAGATCTTCTCACCCACGGAACAGCTTCCCACACCTGCAGAATGCTCGCCAAGAAAGGGACATGAAAATGAACAGAAGAAAGTGAGCTTCAAGGCGATGTTCACTAACATAGATGGGATTACAAATAAAACAAGTGAACTTGGAGAATGGGCACTAGAAGAAAACCCAGACATAATAGCACTCACAGAAAAAAAAGCTAACGAAAATCATAACAAACGCAGTGTTTCCACAGGGCTACTATGTAGTGAGGAAAGAGAGAGAATGGAGAGGAGGAGGTGGTGTAGCTTTGCTACTAAGAGAAGGTTGGAGTTTCGAAGAGATGGTAATTCAGAACTGTGAAGGTTTCAGCGACGACATATCAGGCACCATAGCAACTGGAGGACAGAAAATTATAATAGTAGTCATATATAACCCCCCACCGAATGTCAGAAGACCCAGACAGGAATACGATAGAAACAACATGGCCACCATCAATATAATAGAGAGAGCAGCTTCTGTGGCTAGCAGGAACGGATCCAGACTTCTAATCATGGGAGACTTCAACCATGGGAAGATAGATTGGGGGAACAGAGACCTACATGGAGGCCCAGACACATGGAGAGCTAAGCTGCTGGATGTGGCAACAAGAAACTTTCTAAGTCAACACGTCAAGGGACCGACAAGAATGAAAGGAGGGGATGAACCAGCCTTGCTTGATCTGATATTTACCCTAAATGAGTCGGATATAAGGGAAGTTAAGTTGGAAGACCCCTTGGGAATGAGTGATCATAGTGTATTGAGCTTTGAGTACCTGGTTGAGCTGGGAATTATCACCCCCAAAAAAGAATTGGGAAACAAAGGGCTGGCGTACCGAAAGGGAAACAAGGAGGAGATAAATAAATTCCTATGGGATATACATTGGGACACAGAACTCGGAACCAAGTCCGTACAAGACATGATGGACTATGTCACCCAAAAATGTCAGGAGGCTGTAAGCAGGTTTGTCCCAGCCCGACAGGAAAACACAGAGAAGCAAAGGAAGAATCCGTGGTTTAATAGGAAATGTATGAAAGCAAAGGAGCTGAACAAAAGGGCATGGAGGAACTTCCGTAATAACAGAACACCAGAAAGTAGAGAGAGATACCAGAGAACCAGGAACGAGTATGTCAGTGTGAGAAGAGCAGCTGAGAAAAGGTATGAAAATGATATAGCTAATAAAGCCAAGACCGAGCCAAAGCTACTACACAGTCACATCAGGAGGAAGACAACAGTGAAGGAACAGGTGATGAAACTTTGGGTGGGCGAGGACAGGTACACAGAGAATGACAAAGAGGTGTGTGAAGAACTCAACAAAAGGTTCCAGGAGGTCTTTACAATTGAACAGGGAAATGTCACGGCGCTAGAAGAGGTGACAGCAAACCAGGTGACCTTGGATAGGTTCGAAATTACAAGAGATGAGGTCAAGCAGCACCTATTGGAGCTGGATGTGAGAAAAGCTGTTGGGCCGGACGGAATCTCGCCATTGGTATTGAAAGAGTGTGCAGGAGCACTTTGCTTACCACTCTCCATAGTGTATAGTAGGTCACTGGAAATGGGGGACCTACCAGAAATATGGAAGACTGCTAATGTAGTACCAATATACAAAAAGGGTGACAGACAAGAGGCACTAAACTACAGGCCAGTGTCCTTAACTTGTATACCATGCAAGGTTATGGAGAAGATTGTGAGAAAAAGCCTAGTAACACATCTGGAGAGAAGAGACTTCGTGACAACCCATCAACATGGGTTGTCACGAAGTCAGGGAGGGTAAATCTTCATCTTCATAAATAAATCTCGTAAGTAACAACATATTACTTACAAGGAAATATAATGCTTTTGTTGAGCCTGCTTCTACAATAATGGTTGCCGATTGGTCGTGTAGGATGTCCAGGAGGGACTGGATGGGCTGAGGGATGTGTCTGACAGCCAGGAGAGCCATGAGGTTGCCGGCGTAGCTCTGCGTCAGCACCAGCGTCACCATCATCCACACCAGCATCACCACCCGCTCCCACCACCACTTCCTCCGCACCCAAATGTCTGTTGATAAAATATTTCAAGTGGGTCTTGTTTATGATCTCTGTTGTCGACCTCTAAATCTTCTTGGAGATAAAATAGTGTTATTAAATAACTTGATATGTATGATAGAAATTGCTTATATTTGCCTTTTCAATTTTACACATTGGCTTGTTCATTTCATACTTTAAACAATATTTGACATGTCAGGTTTATTCTTACAATTACAATTAAAAATAATCTGAATGTGTTCCATTGAGAAAAAAGATTCCTGTTGTAGAGTTTTATTGGTAAAACACATTCTATTGTATTGACCTCATCAGTAGCCAAAGAATGCTTAGCAATACCAAGCCAGGGTTCAAGTAGTTCTGGTACAAATATTCTAGAGAGAGGTTGATGACTCTGAGAGCAGCAGTACACCAAGAACTTCAACAAAATCTTGTAGATCTGAGTCAAAGTGAAATCGACACCAGTAATTCCATCTATCATCATACTATCATGCAAGAGAAGCCACACATCTATGGTTCATCCATTAAAATCAACAGACTTCTAGATGCTACTACTTCTTGGCTTAGACTCGGTTACAGGTATCTCTGGGAATTCTCATTATCTGCTGATGTAGACCTGACCAAATGTAAACTGTGCTAAAAAAAATATTCGCACACCCTCCACTATGTGATGGAGTTCGAAAAGATACGTGAATTCAGGGACAATTCTATAACAAAGGTTCGTAAAATGTGTAAATATTTCTGTGAGGAATGGAAATTCCCTCAGCTAGTTTTCTAGTTTTCTAGATTAGGCTAGAGTCGCTCTAGGACTCTAGACAAAGAAGTTTTGAAACTACATGCACTTGTGTGATGTTGGTTGAAAGCTTATACTTAGATCTGTCTTTTTAGACTAGGCTGGAATCTGTGACTGCTCTGTAGAGAGAGTTACAGAATTAATTCTGTTTACTGAGAAATGGAACTTGGTAGAGTGAGAGGTACGAGAGGGTACTTGAACTCGTAGCCAACGGTTTCATGGGGAGTGGGGGGACGGATGGGTGAACATCGCCTCCCCCACCTAGGCCTCCCCCGCCTTGTGATGTCACAGGATGCCTCAAGGCGTCTCGTTTGTGATTCGTCTAGGCATCTCAGCCTCGAGGTGATGTTTAGGCACGAAAGGCTGTGATTGGAAGCAGCACGATAGGCTGTTCCGGCTTTGCTCTCATTGGTCAAGACAAGGTGGGGGGGGGGGGGAGACGGTCATCTTTTGAGTTTCCCTATCCCGCCAAAAGTTAGTCTAGGACCGGCGTTTGTCTAGGAAGGAGCCCCAGGCTGTGTCATCCTTATTACTCATCGCGCACGGTAATCCTGCCATCGTGTCTAGATTAAATTTGCGTGATCTTGTGCCAAGGAGTAAGGAAGGAACTGTGTAAGACTCTAGAATACAGTGTTCACCCATGAGGCCCCAGGCAAGCCTCGTGGTGTATCACATGTTGTTGCTCACATCTGATGAGTTGTCTCGTCTAAGATAACTGACAAGTGGTCGAATCGGACAGGGCTTCTCAGTGTTCATGGGAACGTAATATTCAGGAAATTACAGGCCCATGTTGGACTTTGAAATTCCACCTTGCCATGTCAGCCATGTTGTATAGCCCGCCATTATCACACCCGGTGTACGAGCAAGCCTGATCGTGGTGTGTGTGGGCATGTGAGCGAATCTTCCACACACGTTGGGTACGCCTGAGGCCTTCAGCCAGCCGAGGTTCCCATGTGAGCGCCGCACCGCTCCCTGGCCAGAAACCGTGGGGCCATGCGATGGCCACACCCTGGTCACACGCCTTTGAGCCACACCAACCACCCCGCGCGCCACCTCATCCTGGGTGGGGCGCGGCGACAGTCTTTCGCTACTCCGTGGCAACCCCTTAGGGCCACGTGATGGCCACAGGTCCTGGCCACATGCCTTGGCCGCCTCTTTGGGCCACGCTATGGTCACATGCCTAGGCCACCCCTTTGGGCCACGCTATGGTCACATGCCTTGGCCACACTCCATAGGGCCACTCCTATTCGAAGCACGTGGGAGCGAGCTAAGTGGTCTTAACCTTCAGTGCTTCAGCGAGGTTGTGACCGGGGGAATGAATGTAAAGAGAGTGGTAACGTGAGTACTCATTATTATGTAATGTAAGTTACAGTGCCTCAGGACTGATGTTAATTCCGGTACCAGCTATGATGTACCATAGCGCCTGCCAGGCGAGGGACGCAAGCTGAGAGGCAGCTGTCTGTACTGACGTCAAGGTGACTGTCTCTGTTGTGACATGAGGGTGTATACACAGAACCACACATGTAGATGTATATAGATATATGTTGACTAGACCACACACTAGAAGGTGAAGGGACGACGACGTTTTGGTCCGTCCTGGACCATTCTCAAGTCGATTGTTTCGACTTGAGAATGGTCCAGGACGTACCGAAACGTCGTCTTTGTCCCTTCACCTTCTAGTGTGTGGTCTGGTCAGCATTCTTCTGCCACGTTATTGTGACTCATCGCCTGTATATAGATATATTTTGTGTGTAGACTGACTCGAGTATGTAAACCAGTCAGTGTAGAGATTTTTTCCCATATAAGTGATCCTTGATCTGTCGATTCAATATATATATCGTTCAGAGTCAAGATTAATGTCATGTGGCCGCATGTTAATTATATTATTTCAGAGGTAGGCAGGCCAGTGTATTTAGGTTTAATCAGAGGACACCCTTAGGTCTCTATAATTATGTATTAATTATTCTAGTGATATATATATAATATAAATCTGCCCGAAACGCTTTGCGTAATAGTGGCTTTAGGCATTGTATGTACTAGCTCTATCTATAAAGCCAACAAACTTTGTAAATCTCTTTATGTATGTACCTTACCTAAATAAAGATTATTATTATTATTATTATTATATATATATGTGTGAATTTATGTTGTTGTGATGCATGATTGGTAGCTATTTGATTTATGATCACTGATTAATGTCTACCATTTCCATGTGTTTCATTTGCATGTATATTATTACGATGTGTGTTGTAAGTCAGTAATTGAGATTGCTGACTGATTGCATAGTGAGGTCATTAGCATGTGGGGGTATGCTGATGACATCAGTATGTTGTGTGTTTGGGCAGTGTTGATGTTAGTATATGTTATGTTACTGCCCTAGGAGCTGTGTTGATGATTTAAGGAGGTACCTTTAATTATTCTGGGGAATTCACAGTACTTAATGAAAGAGCAAGCAATTGATTGGTTAATCTGCCTAATTATGAGAATTAGTGCCAGCTGTCAGTGTAGCGACAGTGTCTTATATTAACGTAAATTGTTTTGCTAGAGTAGTGATTCCACACAGCTGGTCCTTGCAACTGTTGCAAGATTAGAGGGGGCAGTAATGTTGATATACTTTTGTTGTTGACAAACCGTGAGTCATTACTGTGTGGGTACAGTAATTACCGTGTTGCAGAGAAGCTGCAACCGTATGTGGGCTGTACATTTATGTTGTTATGCCACTGTAAGTGTGACCTATGTAACCTGGGGTTACTTTGTGTTCTTTAAGTTGTGTTGAGGACTTTAAGGATTCAGTGAGAGTTAATTGTGGTGATTAACGTCATAAGGGGTTGCACATTACTTAATGAGGGAGCTGTTATGGGAAACAGTGTTGAGCTTGTTGAGATACGTATTGGAAAAAATAATTAAAACTAAATGGGTAGAACACCTTGAGAGAAATGATATAATATCAGACAAACAGTATGGTTTTCGATCTGAAACATCCTGTGTATCGAATTTACTCACTTTTTATGATCGAGCAACAGAGATATTGTAACACAGGGGGGGGGGGTGTTCTCGACTTATCTTTCCTTCTACTCCCCCTCTACCCGTATTCTTACTTTTTATTCTCTACAAGGGACTCCAAAACTTTTACTAAAGCCGACTCCACGCCACGTGGTCCTAAGACGATTGACCGACTTAGGATTCTACAACCCGTATGACGTGACCTAGGCTTTGAGCAAAACCCTAGAGTCGCCTCCGCCGCCACCACCAGGCCAGTAACACAGAGCAATGATCGAGGTCTGGATCGATCATGCTAATTAATGAACCTTGGGGCTTGATCCCCACTATAACCGATGACCTTGAGAGTTCTTAAGTGTGGAATTAATTACACGGGAATGATGAATTCCGATTCGATGTTAGAATCGACGCCCAATCCAACTCTGCCTCGGGTGGACCACGTGACCAGGACAAGTTCACATACTGTACATATAACAAATACATGGAAATAATAAAAATGCAAAATATTAACTAATTAATTTATTAAAAGAAACTAAAAATCTAAATATGTTCACTCCCTGTCATTTTAACACTCCCTACTTGACCTGACGGCAATGAGTTGACTATCCCTATAGATAACAATAGCAACTATACCTCTATGTTTTACCAGCTAAAGATGTTGGGCTGGTCTTGGGGGAGAGGTGAGATGGGTTGACCTCCCCCAGTTGATCTTGAGTTCACACTGATCTCTCCTCGTCTGGTCTACCCCAGACTAGAGCATTGTATTGTTCCGCATCGCTTACCCAGTTACTTAGCCAGGTTTAAGTTATAACAATTAACCTCTGTTTGTACTGAATTGATCCAGACTGGTTGAATTATTTTACTGAAATTAAATTACACAAGCATCTAACGGCAGAGCTGTTCCCGTTCCCCAAAATGGTTATTAAAACTTTGAGAAATAGTAGACATGTCAACACTGATGACCTATGACCGCCAGGTCACTCCGCCTTACAACTTAGATCTGATTCGTGATGTCACTGATGGTGACTTAACTCAATAATTAGAATACTCTTGATATTGTACACAGTAATATTATACAATACAATTTTAATACAAAATGAATAAAGGCTAATTTCTCTAACTTACTGAATACTATAGGATGATTCATTATATGCAGCTATGAACAAGGCGTCGATTATTTTCACCGCGAATTCCCCTGGAGTCAGGTCCCGGGTCACCACGCGGGCTCAGCTTCCCATTCTCTTTTGTCGATAAACCACTCTGGATAATTCTTACAACCAGCCTAGTTTGTTACAATATTACAGGAAAGAGATGGTTGGGTTGACTGCATCTATCTGGACCTACAAATGACTTTCGACAGAGTTCCACATAAGAGGTTGTTCTGGAAACTGGAAAATATTGGAGGGGTGACAGGTAAGCTCCTATCATGGATGAAAAATTTTCTGACAGAAAAATGAGGGCAGTGATCAGAGGCAATGTATCGGACTGGAGAAATGTCACCAGTGGAGTACCACAGGGTTCAGTTCTTGCACCAGTGATGTTTATTGTCTACATAAATGATCTACCAGTTGGTATACAGAATTATATGAACATGTTTGCTGATGATGCTAAGATAATAGGAAGGATAAGAAACTTAGATGATTGTCATGCCCTTCAAGAAGACCTGGACAAAATAAGTATATGGAGCACCACTTGGCAAATGGAATTTAATGTTAAGAAATGCCATGTTATGGAATGTGGAATAGAAGAACATAGACCCCACACAACCTATATACTATGTGAGAAATCTTTAAAAAATTCTGATAAAGAAAGAGATCTTGGGGTGGTTACAGATAGAAAACTATCACCTGAGGACCACATAAAAAATATTGTGCGAGGAGCCTATGCCACGTTTTCTAGCTTCAGAATTGCTTTTAAATACATGGATGGCGATATACTAAAGAAATTGTTCACGACTTTTGTTAGGCCAAGGCTAGAATATCCAGCGGTTGTGTGGTGCCCATATCTTAAAAAGCACATCAACAAACTGGAAAAGGTGCAAAGACATGTTACTAAGTGGCTCCCAGAACTGAAGGGCAAGAGCTATGAGGAGTGGTTAGAGGCATTAAATATGCCAAAACTAGAAGACAGAAGAAAATGAGGTGATATGATCACTACATACAAAATAGTAACAGGAATTGATAAAATCGGTAGGGAAGATTTCCTAAGACCTGGAACTTTAAGAACAAGAGGTCATAGATTTAAATTAGCTAAACACAGATGCCGAAGAAATATAAGAAAATTCACTTTCGCAAACAGAGTGGCAGACGGTTGGAACAAGTTAGGGGAGAAGGTGGTGGAGGCCAAGACCGTCAGTAGTTTCAAAGCGTTATATGACAAAGAGTGCTGGGAAGACGGGACACCACGAGCGTAGCTCTCATCCTGTAACTACACTTAGGTAATTACACACACACACACACACACATGCACACACACACACACACACACACACACACACACACACACACACACACACACACACACACACACACACACACCCACACACACAGCCATATAGGGAGCCCCTGTGTGGTCACCAGGGAGCCCCTGTGTGGGCGCCAGGGAGCCCCTGTGTGGTCAACAGGGAGCCCTGTGTGGTCTCCAGGGAGCCCTGTGTGGTCGCCAGGGAGCCCTGTGTGGTCGCCAGGGAGCCCCTGTGTGGTCTCCAGGGAGCCCTGTGTGGTCTCCAGGGAGCCCTGTGTGGTCGCCAGGGAGCCCCTGTGTGGTCTCCAGGGAGCCCTGTGTGGTCTCCAGGGAGCCCTGTGTGGGCGCCTGGGAGCCCCTGTGTGGTCGCCAGGGAGCCCCTGTGTGGTCGCCAGGGAGCCCCTGTGTGGTCGCCAGGGAGCCCTGTGTGGTCGCCAGGGAGCCCCTGTGTGGGCGCCAGGGAGCCCTGTGTGGTCTCCAGGGAGCCCCTGTGTGGTCGCCAGGGAGCCCTGTGTGGTCGCCAGGGAGCCCTGTGTGGGCGCCAGGGAGCCCTGTGTGGGCGCCAGGGAGCCCCTGTGTGGGCGCCAGGGAGCCCTGTGTGGGCGCCAGGGAGCCCTGTGTGGGCGCCAGGGAGCCCCTGTGTGGGCGCCAGGGAGCCCTGTGTGGGCGCCAGGGAGCCCTGTGTGGGCGCCAGGGAGCCCTGTGTGGGCGCCAGGGAGCCCTGTGTGGGCGCCAGGCAGCTGTGTGTGAAACAGGTGGTCAGCAGGGCCCGCACGTGAGCTCCCACACCCTACCCCGCCACCTTTGTGGGCGTTGTGAGACAGGTTCTCTAGGGGAAACTCTCTGTGGGTCCTTGTTGCCTGTGTGTTGCAATCAGGGAGGACGTGCATCAGATGTAACTCTCTCACTCATAGTGAACTCGTATCGACACATCTTTCATTGCATGAAAGATTGCATTACGAGTACATTACTTTTCGGTAATTCACATTTCGTATCATTTCCTGGAACACTAATGAACAATTTATGTAGAACATATTTGTCAAATAATGTTAAGTGCTCTTAAAAGTTCAAATTTCTTCATGAATGGAGACCTCCTGGGCCTCCAAGCACAATATATAAAAACATTCTAGATTTTTTTATATATGCTTTCATCCTGGTAAAAGAGATGTGACAATAAAAGCAATTCTAATGTTTTCCATTATTACATTAACTGAAAATTTGCAAAAATTCATCTTTCACTTATGTGAAACAACTGGAGCCTAGTGCTTGAGCAAATGTTCATGGCTTCTGTGGAAGGCACATCACAACATTGCGTCCATAACAGTTTACATCTAACAAAATTACTGATTTTAGAAAGTTCGTCTATTATTCAGGGTTAACTTAACACAATGTGACAAATCCAAGTTTTGAGCATCTATTGGGAAGGGAGTTGGATGCCTCCAAGTTACTACAACAGTGTAATACATTGTGGAGATCTGGTAACCTGTTTAAGCCTATCAGGAACCTCTTGTCCAGGAGCAAGGTTGTCTGCTTGGTTACATGTAGGATACTGGTCTTAACTTGACTAATCAAATGATATTTAATTTTTTTTACCCGATCCATGCAAACACACAAGCTATCTTGATTCTTAAATTATTTAAAGTTAAACAAATACCTGAATTATGGTATTGGTGTTACAGCTGCAGCTCGCAAAATATACTACCAAACGAGAGGTACCGATACTGATTGTTATCAGTTAAAAGTTAGCTCTCTACGCTTATCATTATAATAGGTACTAACAATGCAGCCCCCGTGGCAGTCCCTGTGGTATAGTGGTTAAGACACTCGCCTGGCGTTTCGCGAGCGCTTTGGCCTGGGTTCGTATATTAGCCAGGGAGGATTGACTGGGCGCCAATCCTTAACTGTAGCCTCTGTTTACCTGACAGTAAAATGGGTACCTATTTGTTAAAACGATTTGGCGGGTTGTATTCAAGGGAATATTAGGATTAAGGACTTGCCCGAAACGCTATGCGTGCAAGTGGCTGTACAAGAATGAAAGAACTCTTGTATATATAAAATGAAAATTAAATAAACATATCAGTGATATCATGGATCTCTTATTGAACAAAATCTGGCTACCAAAACCTACGGTCTCACTGACAATTTAATTTGTGTCCATAACATGGTTCAGTATTTCGTGATGAATAGTTCATGTTATTTGTAAAGTGTCAATATAAATTGCATAATTATATTCCTAAAAAATAATACACAATATATGTTCCATTATATTTTCTAATAAAACTATGACGCCATAGAAAATTTGTCTAAATAATTGTTACATAGAATATTGACTCCCACCTTGATGTAGAAATATTGTAATAAATCTGAATGTGTCTTCTATACATTCTCCGGGAGTCCTAACTGACACGCATGAAGAGAGGAGGGACACCGTCAGGGGCAGCACCAGCAGCGTCGCCAGGATGGCCGCCCACACCAGCGGCGTCAAGGGGAGCACGAAGCCCCACGGGTCCACCACCAGCCGCCCTCGACCACCCAGGATCTTGCCATAGTATACTGAAATAGGCCATGTGAAGTCCACGACTTCAGCTCGTGATGCACTAACACTGAAGGGACCCAGACCAACGTCCACCTCCTGCATTGTTACCATTAAAATATTGTGATATGTTAGTCATCTACTGTCCCAGAATATTCAGTTATTTTAATATAATATTATCAATTAATAGCACTAGTATACGGAGATAATAAATACTCTTAAACGATATTGAAATGGATATATGAGACTATGTTTTGAATGGGACAGTTGATTCATTTTTATTATACACAAATTACGTTGCATATTTTTCCTATTTACTCAAATTTCACTTTGCCTCTAACCAGCAGTGCTACGCCACCTCCTCCACTTTGCCTCTAACCAGCTGTGCTACTCCACCTCCTCCACTTTGCCTCTAACCAGCTCTGCTACTCCACTCCTAAATTTTGCCTCTAACCAGCTGCTACTCCACCTCCTCCACTTTGCCTCTAACCAGCTCTGCTACTCCATCTCCTCCATTTTGCCTCTAACCAGCTGTGCTACTCCACCTCCTCCACTTTGCCTCTAACCAGCTGTGCTACTCCACCTCCTCCACTTTGCCTCTAACCAGCTGTGCTACTCCACCTCCTCCACTTTGCTTTTAACCAGCTGTGCTACTCCACCTCCTCCACTTTGCCTCTAACCAGCTGTGCTACTCCACCTCCTCCACTTTGCCTCTAACCAGCTGTGCTACTCCACCTCCTCCACTTTGCCTCTAACCATCAGTGCTACTCCACCTCCTCCACTTTGCCTCTAACCAGCTGTGCTACTCCACCTCCTCCACTTTGCCTCTAACCAGCTGTGCTACTCCACCTCCTCCACTTTGCCTCTAACCAGCTGTGCTACTCCACCTCCTCCACTTTGCTTCTAACCATCAGTGCTACTCCACCTCCTCTTCTTCTTACTTTTCTTCCTGTCGTATATTCCGTGGCATATATCTGCAATTTGATTTCTTTCCAGTTACCTTTTTCTTTTACTGCTGCTGCTTTCTCAGGCTGCATCTGCCCTCTCAGGCTGCATCTGCCCTCTCAGGCTGCATCTGCCCTCTCAGGCTGCATCTGCCCTCTCAGGCTGCATCTGCCCTATACACGGACTCAGCCGCTCTGTCTTGATTGCCTCTCCATCTGCACAGTGTACCTCACGTTCAGGCTCTTTGTCCATAAATTGTATTTAGTTTTGGTAGCCATTATGAAATCGTAGAATTAGGTAGGAGGGTGATATTAGAGGGGGAGGCTGTAGCGGTAACAGCAGGCCGTCCACATACAAGAAACTGTCGTCCTTAAGTATCCTAACCTACCTGAAGACCCCCAAACAGAAAACGGGACAGTGTGTCGATTTTGCGAGCCGATAATATTTTACAGTACGACAATTTTTGGCCTAAGATAAAGTATACGTCAAAATGTGACGTTTTTGTAACTTGTGATATTTAGAAGGGCAGGTTGTTGGATGCATGGGTGGATGTGTTGTTAAGTGGGATTGATAATGTGTATTGGAAGGGGGCGGGGAAATATTGAATGAGGGAGATGAACATAGAGAAGGAAGCGGTGTGGAAGCTGGAGTTGACAGAAGTTGATTCTAGAGAGTTAATGAGAGGAATGCAGAGAAGAGGTATATGTGTTAATCACTCATTAAGGGGCAAGTGGATATGTAAGGGAGTAAGGGGGCTAGGTTAGGAGAGCAGTGGTGCAATACCGTCACAGGAACTTCCTCTTCCTACTGTCAGGAAAAATACTTTGACTTTATCGGAACATAAACATGCTCAGAAGAGGCTAGAGGCAGAGCAAGCTCAGAAATTTCTGTTACCTAACTAGTCAACCCGTTCTCGCAAATTCGTAAAGTCAATATTGACTTATTAACTACGTGCATAGGTGATATACTAAACATAATAGATACCCCTAAAAAGATTCATAGAAAACACCGACCTTACCTAACCTTGTTAGTATCTTAAGATAAGCATCTTATTGCTTCGTAATTACAATTATTACTTAACCCATACCTATTATAGGTTAGGTAATAATTGTAATTACGAAGCAATAAGATGCTTATTTTAAGATACTAACAAGGTTAGGTAAGGTCGGTGTTTTCTATGAATCTTTTTAAGGGTATCTATTATGTTAAGTATGTCACCTATGCACATATTTATTAAGTCAATATTGACTTATTAAATTTGCGAGAACGGGTTGAACTAGTACACACAGCTCGTGTGATACTGGATAGTGATATAAATTCTAGTCTAGGGTAAGTTCACTATTTTTAAACAAAAGTCAATACCAGAGTTCCCCTATGTAGGACAGGAATATAAATTTAAGAAATCAGGTGAAATAAACATGCACATAATAATATATATATATTATAATTAAGCCTTGGTTCTTATTATTTAATATACAGTTTTTCTCTGATATAGCTGTCATATGCTAGGATTCCGGCTTTATAGCTAGTGGCCTTTGAAAGGATCAAGAAGAGGAAGCAAGACTTGGTCCAACAGTTACTTGGGGTGTAGGAAGCTAGCCTCTCACGTGGATAATTTGGTGTCTACATCCCAGTTATACCTGGTGGACTAAGCCTGCTGTACAATAAGATAAGGCACCTCCAATTTATTTACTAATATATGTAGTTAATACTGTAGTTTGATTTGCTGCATATATATAAATTTAATATAAACCCCCCCAATATGTAAGGATCGATTTATGAGATTATTGCAGAAACAATAATTCACTTAACACCATACATATTGCTATCGAAATATATAAATTAACATAAATATAAATTCTATATAAATTCATATAGATTAAATAAATATAAATCTCACAGGTCGGTTCCCACACAATCTTCTCCATCACCTTGCATGGTATGCAGGTTAGGGACACTGTCCTGTAGGTCAGTGCCTCCTGTCTATCCCCTTTTATATCGGGACTACATTAGCTGCCTTTCAAATTTCTGGCAATTCCCCTTTTGCCAGTGATTTGTTATACACTATGGAGAGTGGTAGGCACAGTTCTTCTGCTCCTTCATTTAGTATCCAAGGGGAGATTCCATCTGGGCCTATTGCCTTTGTCACACCCAACTCTAGTGTATGTGTGTGTACTCACCTGATTGTGCTTGCGGGGGGTTGAGCTCTGGCTCTTTGGTCGTGTGTATGTGTGTGTGTGTACTTACCTAGTTATGCTTGCTAGGGATGAGCTCTGGCTCTTTGGACCCGCCTCTCAACAGTCAATCAACTAATGTACAGGTTCCTGAGCCTACTGGGCTCTATCATATCTACACTTAAAGCTGTGTATGGAGTCAGCCTCCACCACATCACTTCCTAATGCACTCAATTTGTCTACTACTCTGACACTGAAAAAAATTCTTTCTAACATCTCTGTGGCTCATCTGGGTACTAAGTTTCCACCTGTGTTCCCTTGTTCGTGTCCCTCCCGTGCTGAAGACTTTGTCTTTGTCCACCCTGTCAAATCCTCTGAGAATTTTGTAGGTGGTTATCATGTCTCCCCTTACTCTTCTGTTTTCCAGGGATGTGAGGTTCAGCTCCTTTAGCCTTTCCTCGTAGCTCATTCCTATCAGTTCCGGGACGAGCCTGGTGGCATACCACTGGATCTTCTCTAGCTTTGTCTTGTGTTTAACTAGGTATGAACTCCAGGCTGGAGCTGCATACTCCAGGATTGGTCTTATATAAGCGGTATACAGGGTCCTGAACGATTCCTTACACAAGTTTCTAAAGGCAGTTCTTATGTTGGCCAGTCTAGCATATGCCGCTGATGATATTCTTTTGATGTGGGCCTCTGGGGACCGGTTCGGTGTGATATCAACCCCCCAGATCTTTCTCTCTATTTGACTCCTGAAGGATTTCACCTCCCAGATGATACCTTGTGTTCAGCCTCCTGCTCCCTTCGCCTAATTTCATTGCCTTACACTTAACTGAGTTGAACTGTAGCAGCCATTTTCTAGACCATTCCTCCAGTTTGTCCAGCTTATCCTGTAGTCTCTGTCTATCTTCATTCGTCTTGATTCTTCTCATAATTTTTGCATCATCAGCAAACATTGAGAGGAATGAACCTATACCCTCCGGAAGATCGTTTACATATATTAGAAACAGCATGGGTCCAAGTATCGAGCTTTGCGGGACTCTGCTGTGACATCTCGCCACTCTGATGTCTCCCCCCTCATCGTTACTCGCTGTTTCCTGTTGCTTAAGTACTCCCTTATCCACTGGAGCACCTTCCCTTTTACTCCTGCCTGATGTTCCAACTTTGTTAACAGCATTTGATGGGGTACTGTGTCAAAGGCTTTTTGGCAGTACAGGAAAATGCAGTCGGCCCACCCTTCTCTTTCCTGCCTAACTTTTGTTGCCTGGTCATAGAATTCTATTAAACCTGTGAGGCACGATATACCATCCCTGAACCCATGTTGGTCGTGTGTTACAAAGTTATTTCCCTCCAGATGCTCTACGAGCCTTTTCCTCACGATCTTCTCCGTCATCCTGCATGGTATACAAGTTAAGGAAACTGGCCTGTAGTTCAGTGCCTCTTGCCTGTCACCCTTCTTGTATATTAGGACTATGTTAGCTGTCTTCCAACTTTCTGGTAAGTCTCCTGTTTCCAGTGACCTGTTATACACCATAGAGAGTGGCACACTTAGTGCTTCTGCACCTTCCTTTAGTATCTATGGTGAGATTTTGTCAGGCCCAACAGCCTTTGTCACATCCAGCAGACACCTTTTGACCTCATCACTGATGAGATCAAATTCCTCCAAGGTTGCTTGGTTTGCCTCCTCCTCATTTAGTGCAGGGGCTTCTCCATGTTCTACAGTGAAGACCTGGAATCTCTTGTTGAGTTCTTCACACACCTCCTTGTCATTCTCTGTGTATCTGTTCTCCCCTTTTCTCACTTGTTCCTTCACTGCTGTTTTCCTCCTAAAGTGGCTGTGGAGCAGCTTTGGTTGGGTCTTGGCTTTACTCGCTATGTCATTTTCAAACTGTCTCCCTGCTTCCCTCCTCACTCTGAGGTACTCATTTCTGGCCCTCTGGTATCTCTCCCTGCTCTCTGGTGTTCTGTTATTTCTGTAGTTTCTCCATGTTCTTTTACTCAGTTGCTTCGCTGCCTTGCATTCCTGGTTGAACCATGGGTTTTTCTGTTGTTTTTCGTTTTTCTCCTTTTGGACGGGGATAAACCTGTCTGCAGCTTCCTGTCACTTCTGGGTGACAAAATCCAACATGTCCTGCACATTCTTGTCTCTAAGTTCTGTTTCCCATGGTATTCCCCTGAGGAAGTTCCTCATCTCGTCATATTTTCCTCTTCGGTAATTTAGTCTTTTACCTTCCGCTCCCATCCTTGGATAGGTTATCCCTACCTCCACCAAGTACTCAAAGGTCAGTACACTGATGTCACTCTTTCCTATGGGGGCTTCAACTTTGACTTCCCTTATTTCTGACTCATTCAGGGTGAATATCAAGTCGAGTCTAGCTGGTTCATCATTGCCTCTCACTCTTGTGGGTTCCTTGACATGCTGGCTCAGAAAATTCCTTGTTGCCACTTCAAAGAGTTTAGCTCTCCACGTATCTGCACCACCATGTGGGTTCCCATTCTCCCAGTTTATCTTTACATTGTTGAAATCGCCCATGATTACGAGTCTTGAGCCATTCCTGCAGGTAACTGAAGCTGCTCTCTCTATTATATTAATGGTTGCCATGTTGTTCCTATCAAGCTCCTTTCTAGGTCTTCTGTCATTTAGGGGAGGGTTGTAAATGACTGCCACTATTATCTTAGGTCCACCCATTCTTATAGTTCATGTTATGTAATCTCTGAACCCGTCACAGTCCGGAATTTCCATCTCATCAAAACTCCAGTCCTTCCTTATCAGCAGGGCCACTCCTCCACCTCCTCTCCCTTCCCTCACTTTCCTTACTATATAGTAGTCCTTTGGAAACCCAACATCTGTTATGACTCCTGACAATTTTGTTTCCGTGAGTCCTATTACATCAGGGTTTTCTTCTTGCACCCTTTCTGCCAGTTCACTTGCTTTATTGGTAATCCCATCAATGTTTGAGTACATTACCTTGAAGCTCACTTTCTTATATCCAATTTCACCCACACTCCCCACAAGTGTTGGAAGCTGTTCCATGGTCATTGCTACTTCGGTAGGCTCATCCTACTGTGAGGTAGTTGCCTCCTGTGTGTGTGTGTGTGTGCGTGTGTGTGTGTGCGTGAGTGTGTGTGAGCGTACTCACATTACCTGCTCACCTTGCTCACTACGCTGGACCAAGACACAATTTTACTGTTGCTCCCCAGTTTAAAACATTCTTCGGATAATTACTAACTTTCCAAATGGGATCAACATAATGCATGCACTCACCTCCCTGCTCGCCATGCCCGACCAGGACTCGCCAACTCGCCTCCCTGCTCGCCATGCCCGACCAGGACTCATCAACTCACCTCCCTGCTCGCCATGCCCGACCAGGACTCATAAACTGACCTCCCTGCTCATCATGCCCTACCAGGACTCATCAACTCACCTCCCTGCTCATCGTGCCCACCATGCCCGACCAGGACTCATAAACTGACCTCCCTGCTCATCATGCCCGACCAGGACTCATCAACTCACCTCTCTGCTCGTCATGCCCGACCAGGGCTCATCAACTCACCTCCCTCCTAGCCATGCCTGACCAGGACTCATCAACTCACCTCCCTGCTAGCCATGCCCGACCAGGACTCATCAACTCACCTCCCTGCTCACCATGCCCACCATACCCGACCAGGACCCGTCGTTCTGCTGGGACCCCCATAACCCATCAGGAGGTCGCATATACAAGTACCTATTAAAAAAATACTAGATCATATTTTATGTTCAGTAATCACAAATTTGGAAACTACATATATTTTAACACTGATAGCAATAATTAGTATTTCTTAAAAAGAAATATTTCCTTAAATTGTTTATTAGTAACGATAAGTTAATGTCCATCTTAAATGATATGCCATTTAAATAATTTGCCAATTGTTCTGCCAATTTACTAGAATGTGCAATACGATTCACTCCAAAGAAATTGAATACAATGTTTCATAGAGGTTTTGAAAGGATTTAAATACTTTAAATCCATATATTATAAGCATTAATATAAGGCTTAATGTTACCTGTTTCGTAAGTGCTATATGTCTCACTATAAGTATCAGGAAAATATGTCAAATCAATGATATAATATAAAACATTTCATAGTGCTAACATAATCGTGTTCAACCTCAAATGACTTTATTTAAACTACTAAAGAACTAGAACCTTTCAGAGAGCCATCGATCCTATATATACCTCTAATTTCACAATTGGAGCAGAGATACCCAGGTACTGTAATGATACTAATTCTGTTGAACTTATACATCGACAAAAATAATTTTCTACGAATCAAGCATCTAGTGTTTGCATAGAAAACCAAATTATCAAACTCCAAATATTCAATTTCTTTTAATAATTTCACAAAATACTGATGAGCAAAATCATGAATTATGTAAAAGTAATTCATTATTTTTTACAAATATTTATCAAGTTCTTGAAATTGTAACTTCCTGCTATAAGTGTCCATTTTTATGTTGAAAGAGGCAGTGAATAAAGGGCATTAGGAACAGAGTATGTGAAATTATTTGTTTTTTCCAGAAAGGGAACGATACAAAAATTTCTTTTACTGGAAACAAAATTTTGGTAATTTAAAACTTACGTAAAATTTGTAACGTTTGCCAAGAGCTGAAGCACGTTAGCAATTGGACTAAAGAACTCGAGCCTCTTTCCTCCAGGAGACTTGGAATCGTCCACCAGTACTATTTCATGTGTTGGATAGGTTTCAGTCACAACTATCAGAGTTGGACCATTGGAGAGCCTGAGAGAGATCGCTGTTTATCAGTCTACATATTATAACTATATAATATAAATCAATAATATATATATATATATATATATATATATATATATGTTGTACCTAGTAGCCAGAACTCACTTCTCAGCCTACTATGCAAGGCCCGATTTGCCTAATAAGCCTAGTTTTCATGAATTAATGTTTTTTCGACAACCTAACCTACCTAACCTAACCTAACCTAACGTTTTCGGCTACCTAACCTAATCTAACCTATAAAGATAGGTTAGGTTAGGTTAGGTAGGGTTGGTTAAGTTCGGTCATATATCCACGTAAATTTTAACTCCAATAAAAAAAAATTGACCTCATACATAATGAAATGGGTAGCTTTATCATTTCATAAGAAAAAAATTAGAGAAAATATATTAATTCAGTAAAACTTGGCTTATTAGGCAAATCGGGCCTCGCATAGTAGGCTGAGAAGTGAGTTCTGGCTACTAGGTACGACATATATATATATATATATATATATATATATATATATATATATATATATATATATATATATATATATATATATATATATATATATATATATATATAAGCAAAGTTGTCGTACCTAGTAGCCAGAACGCACTTCTCAGCCTACTATGCAAGGCCCGATTTGCCTAATAAGCCAAGTTTTCATGAATTAATTGTTTTTCGACTACCTAACCTACCTAACCTAACCTAACCTAACTTTTTCGGCTACCTAACCTAACCTAACCTATAAAGATAGGTTAGGTTAGGTTAGGTAGGGTTGGTTAGGTTCGGTCATATAACTACGTTAATTTTAACTCCAAAAAAAAAAAATTGACCTCATACATAATGAAATGGGTAGCTTTATCATTTCATAAGAAAAAAAATAGGGAAAATATATTAATTCAGGAAAACTTGGCTTATTAGGCAAATCGGGCCTTGCATAGTAGGCTGAGAAGTGCGTTCTGGCTACTAGGTACGACATATATATATATATATATATATATATATATATATATATATATATATATACCTAGTAGCCAGAACTCACTTTTTGGCCTACTATTCAAGGCCCGATTTGCCTAATAAGCCAAGTTTTCCTGAATTAATATATTTTTTCTAATTTTTTTCTTATGAAATGATAAAGTTACCCATTTCATTATGTATGAGGTCATTTTTTTTTTATTGGAGTTAAAATTAACGTAGATATATGACCGAACCTAACCAACCCTACCTAACCTAACCTAACCTATCTTTATAGGTTAGGTTTGGTTAGGTAGCCGAAAAAGTTAGGTTAGGTTAGGTTAGGTAGGTTAGGTAGTCGAAAAACAATTAATTCATGAAAACTTGGCTTATTAGGCAAATCGGGCCTTGCATAGTAGGCTGAGAAGTGCGTTCTGGCTATTAGGTACGACATATATATATATATATATATATATATATATATATATATATATATATATATATATATATATATATATATATATATATATATATATATATATATATGTCGTACCTAGTAGCCAGAACTCACTTTTTGGCCTACTATTCAAGGCCCGATTTGCCTAATAAGCCAAGTTTTCCTGAATTAATAAATTTTTTCTAATTTTTTTCTTATGAAATGATAAAGCTACCCATTTCATTATGTATGAGGTCAATTTTTTTTATTGGAGTTAAAATTAACGTAGATATATGACCAAACCTAACCAACCCTACCTAACCTAACCTAACCTATCTTTATAGGTTAGGTTTGGTTAGGTAGCCGAAAAAGTTAGGTTGTGTTAGGTTAGGTAGGTTAGGTAGTCGAAAAACAATTAATTCATGAAAACTTGGCTTATTAGGCAAATCGGGCCTTGCATAGTAGGCTGAGAAGTGCGTTCTGGCTACTAGGTACGACATATATATATATATATATATATTTGTGCTTTATTATGCATTTGATGGTTACAAGATATACATGGGTTGATACAAAAATAATAATGCAAAAAGGTGCTTAAAGGTTATGGATCTCTTGAAGAATACAACAATGGGAAACATTGATGAATGTCACAGACATATATATATACATATATATATATATGTCGTACCTAGTAGCCAGAACGCACTTCTCAGCCTACTATGCAAGGCCCGATTTGCCTAATAAGCCAAGTTTTCATGAATTAATTGTTTTTCGACTACCTAACCTACCTAACCTAACCTAACCTAACTTTTTCGGCTACCTAACCAAACCTAACCTATAAAGATAGGTTAGGTTAGGTTAGGTAGGGTTGGTTACGTTCGGTCATATATCTACGTTAATTTTAACTCCAATAAAAAAAATTGACCTCATACATAATGAAATGGGTAGCTTTATCATTTCATAAGAAAAAAAATAGAGAAAATATATTAATTCAGGAAAACTTGGCTTATTAGGCAAATCGGGCCTTGAATAGTAGGCCAAAAAGTGAGTTCTGGCTACTAGGTACGACATATATATATATATATATATATATATATATATATATATATATATATATATATATATATATATATATATATATATATATAATGTTGTACCTAGTAGCCAGAACGTCGTACTCGGCCTGCTATGCAAGGCCTGATTTGCCTAAAAAGCCAAGTTTTCCTGAATTAATATATTTTTTTATTATGAAATGATAAAGCTACCCATTTCATTATGTATGAGGTCAATTTTTTTTATTGGAGTTAAAATTAACGTAGAAATATGACCGAACCTAACCAACCCTACCTAACCTAACCTAACCTATCTTTATAGGTTAGGTTAGGTTAGGTAGCCGAAAAAGTTAGGTTAGGTTAGGTAGTCGAAAAAACATTAATTCAAGAAAACTTGGCTTATTAGGCAAATCGGGCCTTGCATAGTAGGCTGAGAAGTGCGTTCTGGCTACTAAGTACGACATATATATATATATATATATATATATATATATATATATATATATATATATATATATATATATATATATATATATATGTCGTACCTAGTAGCCAGAACTCACTTCTCAGCCTACTATTCAAGGCCCGATTTGCCTAATAAGCCAAGTTTTCCTGAATTAATATATTTACTATAATTTTTTTCTTATGAAATGATAAAGCAACCCTTTTCTCTATGTATGAGGTCAATTTTTTTTATTGGAGTTAAAATTACCGTAGATATATGACCGAACCTAACCAACCTTACCTAACCTAACCTAACCTATATTTATAGGTAAGGTTAGGTTAGGTAGCCAAAAAAAGCTAGGTTAGGTTAGGTTAGGTAGGTTAGGTAGACGAAAAAACATTAATTCATGAAAACTTGGCTTATTAGGCAAATCGGGCCTTGAATAGTAGGCTGAGAAGTGCGTTCTGGCTACTAGGTACGACATATATATATATATATATATATATATATATATATTTATTTCGTGATATACACATATATATATATATATATATATATATATATATATATATATATATATATATATATATATATATATATATATATATATATATATATATATATATCGTACCTAGTAGCCAGAACTCACTTCTCAGCCTACTATGCAAGGCCCGATTTGCCTAATAAGCCAAGTTTTCATGAATTAATTGTTTTTCGACTACCTAACCTACCTAACCTAACCTAACCTAACTTTTTCGGCTACCTAACCTAACCTAACCTATAAAGATAGGTTAGGTTAGGTTAGGTAGGGTTGGTTAGGTTCGGTCATATATCTACGTTAATTTAACTCAAATAAAAAAAAATTGACCTCATACATAATGAAATGGGTAGCTTTATCATTTCATAAGAAAAAAAATAGAGAAAATATATTAATTCAGGAAAACTTGGCTTATTAGGCAAATCGGGCCTTGCATAGTAGGCTGAGAAGTGAGTTCTGGCTACTAGGTACGACATATATATATATATATATATATATATATATATATATATATATATATATATATATATATATATATATATATATATATGTCGTACCTAGTAGCCAGAACTCACTTCTCAGCCTACTATTCAAGGCCCGATTTGCCTAATAAGCCAAGTTTTCCTGAATTAATATATTTACTATAATTTTTTTCTTATGAAATGATAAAGCAACCCTTTTCTCTATGTATGAGGTCAATTTTTTTATTGGAGTTAAAATTAACGTAGATATATGACCGAACCTAACCAACCCTACCTAACCTAACCTAACCTATATTTATAGGTAAGGTTAGGTTAGGTAGCCAAAAAAAGCTAGGTTAGGTTAGGTTAGGTAGGTTAGGTAGACGAAAAAACATTAATTCATGAAAACTTGGCTTATTAGGCAAATCGGGCCTTGAATAGTAGGCTGAGAAGTGCGTTCTGGCTATTAGGTACGATATATATATATATATATATATATATATATATATATATATATATATATATATATATATATGTCGTACCTAGTAGCCAGAACGCACTTCTATGCCTACTATGCAAGGCCCGATTTGCCTAATAAGCCAAGTTTTCATGAATTAATTGCTTTTCGACTACCTAACCTACCTAACCTAACCTAACCTAACTTTTTCGGCTACCTAACCTAACCTAACCTATAAAGATTGGTTAGGTTAGGTTAGGTAGGGTTGGTTAGGTTCGGTCATATATCTACGTTAATTTTAACTCCAATAAAAAAAATTGACCTCATACATAATGAAATGGGTAGCTTTATCATTTCATAAGAAAAAAATTATAGTAAATATATTAATTCAGGAAAACTTGGCTTATTAGGCAAATCGGGCCTTGCATAGTAGGCTGAGAAGTGAGTTCTGGCTACTAGGTACGACATATATATATATATATATATATATATATATATATATATATATATATATATATATAGTAGCCAGAACTCACTTCTCAGCCTACTATGCAAGGCCCGATTTGCCTAATAAGCCAAGTTTTCATGAATTAATTGTTTTTCGACTACCTAACCTACCTAACCTAACCTAACCTAACTTTTTCGGCTACCTAACCA